AAATAAGCAAAAAGTCCCTCAAACAGCAGAGCAAAGGCAGGGAAGAAATCAAACACTGCTGAAGGCAGGCAAGGTCACTTGAACTTGGGAGTTGGAAGAAGGAATCTAGTCCAACTCCCTCATTTTACAGATGAGGCAACTGAGGCCGACAGAAAGGAAATGACGTGCTTACAGTTAGCTGTCGAGCTCAAACCTGAGTACAAGCCCTTGGCCTGAGCCCAGAGCCCTTTCAGGTCTGGCTCCAAGTGAGGCCTACTGAGAAACAGCCTGTGTGGAAAGGAGCTGTGTCAATAAAGACACACGACTGTCTTCACAAGTGAGTCCTTCCAACTTAGACGGAGAGACAGCAACCAGAACGCCTCACTCAAGCTGGACGCTCAAAATCCCTGAAAACGGTAACAAATACTTACGCTACTATTGGGGCAGGATTATCAGACCCTCAATTCTCAGAAAGGCACCTAGGTCAGAGTTACCTGTCGAGGTGAGGAAGGGCAGCAGACAGGCTTAGAAGAGGCCATGGAAACAATCAACGCCTCACCATCCCCATGTACTGCACTTCTGTTTTCATTGTGGGTGGCTGGCCAGAGGCCTCGTCCTCTGGGCAATGGTATTGCCTCTGACTATTGGTATGGATTTAAAGACTCTTGGAAATCTGAGTTCTTGGGTGAGGAGCAGCAGTCAAGAACCCAAACTATGCCTTTCACTGGGCAAGTGTGAAGGAGGCATCTCTAAAGTGTCTGAGCCTGACTCAGCCATGGCATTTCAATCACCTCACAGGCCTGTGAGAGCTGGATAATGAAGGAGACCGAAGAACTGATGCCTTTGGACTACGGTGTTGGCAAAGGCTAGTGACCATCCCACGAATGGCTAGAACCTCCGTCTTGGAAGTGGCACAGTCAGCACACCCTTCAGAAGGGGGTCTGGTGAGACCCTGTCTTCAGTAGTTCGGACAAGAGATGCGCAGGGCCAGTCCCTCAAGAAGGACATCACGCTTGGTTAAGCAAGTAAGAGGGAGGCTCCCAACAAGGCGGACTGACAGAGAAGATGCAACACTGAAGAGGCTCAAACACAGCAATGACTGTTGAGCATGGATGGCTCAGGACTGGGCAGGGTGACATTCACTTCTATACAAGGTCGGCATTACCTGGAACTGACTCCGCAGTCCCTACCACAATCCAGAGCATTCAAGCTGAATCAATGAAATCTTTCAAATATATCACTCTAAGGGGAAAGAAATAGGACTATTTTTCTCTACCTTAAACTACCTCAAAGTCCTGTGAGAGGAAGCACTTTATGGGATCAACGGGTGTCAACTGTCAAAGAGTTGAAATATTTTTTAACACTCTGTAGAAAGCTTTCTTGAGTCTTGTCCAGAGAGTTTGCACTTTTGTTTGAAAGAACTATCTAATGGTAATCTGGTTTCCTTGAGGAAGCAGTCCAAAATAGTCAGGGGAAAAACTAAAGAGAGGAACATTAACAACAGGACAAGAAGCAGTGGCTGTCAGAAAGGGAGATGTGCAGGAAGAAGAGGGAAGTAAAAATTCAAGATCATAGCAGGTCAGGACCATTTAATGATAGTCAAAGAGCATTGCCTGTCTTAGCAACCTGAAGTGACACGTTATACCCAGTATGTTCTCTGATGTACATACTACATACCTCCATCCAAAACGGCTTTTTTTTTTAAGTTGTAATGCTTAATTAAATCAAGTATACACAAAAGATCTCATGAAAAATCTCATTCCACGGTGACACCAGATGACCAAGATGAACAAGGCCCTACCAGTGCTGGGACAAGTGAGTGTGACAGGCGAGGACGGCCTGCGGCCTTGAGCTGCTTCCAGGATGGCCACTAACTTCTTCCTGGTCCCTTAAGAGAAAAAGGCAATGACTGGCTATCAGACGAGATGGAAAGGTTTCACAGCAGACTCTTGTAGCGTATTGTCTAAGATCTTGCAAAGGAAGGTTTAGATTATTTACAGAGGGTTATCTGCTTTTAGAACAAAGAAAAAGCATTTTTTAATGGCTGCGTATTATCTGTCATGTTTTAGCCAATTCCAAGAATTGCTGGCTGGCAATACAAGCACTGTTTGGTCCAGTCATTTACCTCAGGAACCTAAGTTCTCCATTTTCCAAATCTGCTGTCATTAAATAAAATGTCAGTCAAGTGTTTTGATGACAAAGGGAGCAGATTATAGAAATTATTATTTAAAAAAAAAAACAAACAAGGATCATGCCTTTCATAGATAATAAAGGGGGAGAAAATAGCCTGTTCCAAAATGTTCTCAAAAAGGCTTAAAGGAATTGACTTTGCCTGAAATACCTAGTGAGTTAATGATCAGTAAGTGCACTGAACCAGGAACAGAGAGACATGTCACCTTCTACTCATCAAGCTGCAGACACACCTGGGTCCTGTGGGGCAAGTCACCTATTCGTCAACCTGCAGATACCTGGGTCCTGTGGGGAGTGTGAACTCCTTCCCTGGAGGGACTCAGACAAAAAGATGGCTGCACCTCACCTCCTATAATCAGAATCAACTTCTACAAGAAGACCTCATCTGGAATACTGCTGCTAAAAACGGTTTAATTTGCATTCACAATTTCTACTACAAAGACACCCCCCACCCTTAACATTATACTCATTCCACAAAAATGTCTTTTTAACAAAAATGTCTTTTTAGCGACACTGCTATTATGTGTTTGACTGAGCTGATGTTTCGGGTACGGCTCTCCCTCCTGTGGATATGATCACCCACCCTGTAAGTCTGGTCATTCACAGGAGTCATGGGACAGGGCATGCATTCACCGACTGCTGTTGCTACCGTCAAGGGCCACCGACACAGCACTAAGTCACAGTGACTCTCTAGAAAACACGACGTAGCCCTGCTTGACCCTGTGTCATCCTCATTTAGCAGCTCGAAGGAGAACTATTTCAGGGGGGCGGAGGGGAAGGGAGAACCCCCAAAGTCATATGGCAATGATTTTTTTATCATCATTTTTGAATGCCAGGAGCCAAAACTCAAACTCACGGCAATGGAATCTGCTCTAACCCACCATGACCTTGCTTGGGATCCTGAAGCTTCCCATCATAATAGGAGACGATGACGCATCTTTCTCCTGAGGGATCTGAACAGCCAGAGGTGCACGGCTTACCGGGTTAGGGGTGCAACTTGCTGTAGACCACGCCCACAATGCTGCCTATACCAGGAGTGGTGCGCTTAAAACCCCTCAGAATAATCTCTCCCCTGGGGACTGAAGGCCACACGTAAGGATCCCCTTTGATGATGCACAGAAAGGCACTGGGCGAAAGTGGGATGGGCTTCATAGTGAATTTCAAAAGGAAGTATTTGGTTCATCTCTCACTATTAGCTTTCACTAAAATTCAACATTTTTATAGTCTTTTGAGAAGAGAATGAGCTAAAGAAAACTCTGAAACCATTACATATTAATTCTTAGACTTACACAGATTATTTTACCCTTTAAGTAGTCATAAAATGTAAACCCGAGTGCCTCTTCAGTCTTACTTGTCAAAGACGACCACCTCTTTGAAATACAAAAAGTTTAACCACTAGGGTCTCAGGAGCAACAATTCCTAATGTACTAGATGTTTTCTCAAAAGCATCTAGTACTGACTCTAGGTACAAACACAAAGCAAGTAGTAACTAGAAGTACTTCGGTGTTTGGTTCTTGATAGAAAAGAAATCAATACAGGTGGCCTGGCCACAGAGTGATTTTAGCAAATATTCTCCACATACTTTCCTCAGATGATATAACATGAAAACCTTCCGTGAAGTATAAAAAAAGGCAATGAGTTAGTTCTCTCACAGCATGGCTTACGTTCTTTCCAAATCACCTGGTTTTTAAAAAAAAATCTATTATAACAACATTCTTCTCCCACTCACTCTTATTCTTCACTTAGCAAAATGGATCAAAGTCAATAATTTCTAGAAAACAAAGATCTTTTTTCTTTTTTTAAAAAAAGTGCCAATAAAATTTAAATCATCAAATTTTAAAAGGTTAAAATTAGGTTTCCAACAAAATACACTTTAGATTATAGATGTGTGGATAGAAAATTGTCAGTACAAAGTCATAGCTTGAATCAAGATCCATGCTTAGACTCCCAGTAATTAAGCAAATGTGACAGGATGAAGCCCTCAGAGCAAGGAAGCCGACTTGCTCCTGGAAGCTGATAAAAGGACTATCGCACACCAGAGCTCCTTATCTCTCAAACATATCATGTACCTTGCAAAATCTTAAGGTTTAAAAGGTTCTCTAAGTAAAAAAACACAAGCTTTTGAAGGAAAGTCCTTAATGGTACTTGACACTATCTTGTGGACAAGTTTCTCTTAAGACAATCAGCCTGGTTTTAACAATAAAAACTCCAACTCTCCACGTGATACATAGTGTCCGTTGGGAAGTCCTGACAGAATGAGGGGAAGACAAAGCTGCCCAACAGCACTGTCTGCTGCCTGTCATTTAGTAGAAGGTACCTCACCACTGTACATGGACTCAAAAGTGCCATGGGGGAAAAAAAAACAACAAAAAAACCTGCAAAACCTTAAAAATCAAACCTAGAATTCAACTTCATATGTTGAGATTCAGTTTTATTTATGCTACTAGCTAGGTAAAAAGCATACATAATGTGTTGGTGGTACAGTCAATACATCTGCAACTTTTCTACTTAAATTCTTTATACAAAGTCACCGCCAATTGATATGGTCACTGATGGCACAGGACTCAAGACTAACCAAAAGGTATAAAAAAGTTTGCAGTCTTGCCCCAAAATACAAAAACTGAATTTTAAACAATGTCATAACATACATGATTTAAACAGCATATGAAAAAAAAAAATCACACATCAAATCAAGTACAAAAATATCCAAACTACCTATTAAGAACCGCAATGTCTCCATCATTCTGCACAGTATTTAACATAGAATTTAGCAGTTTTCTAAATAGTCATTATTAAGTTGGAGCACTGCCACCTTTGCAGAACAGTGAGCTATTAAGTGGAGTGACAATGCTTTTAGTGTTTTTAAAAAATACAAAAACCTTTCCCTCTGAATTAATGAAGGCAAGAAATTCCTCTTCTCGGGTTCATGGTCACCACCTTGAGGTCTAGAAATACAGAAGAACGTACTGACTGTTTAATGGAGTACGAGTAGTCTTGATACAGTCCCTCAACTGGGAGAACACACGTCATTTTCAATGACGTTTATTAATTGTCTGGGAGTTTTTAGGAATTCTGAATATGCACAGAAGTTAGTGTTTTGTCTTGACAAAATCAAACTGAAGTGGCAAGACAACCTGAATTGAAATCATCTTCTCTAGTTTAACTTGCAAAAAAAAAAAATAGTAAATTTTGGATAAAAGGTTATAATACATTGCTATATTTCCTTAATTAAAACACAGAGTAAAGTTGCTCTTGGTAAAATTAACTCACCCACATGGCACAATATTTTGGAGTAAAGTTATGCTCAACATTAACAACTTGTACACAGATTAACATAGGTGAATTAATTTTGAGAACTGCTCTGCCTTTAAAATCAGCAAAATTGAATTTATTTTACAGAATGACACACATAACTATGTTCTGCATATAAAAGGCTCTAAGACACTGTAAAGGGCTACACTGTCCAGCATTGGAATGACTCCTTCATACGTAACTGGTGAAGATTTGGTAAGAATGTGTTTTTTTCCTGATCTTCAAGCTTTGAGCCATGCCTGAAAAGTTCTAAATAGAAGGAGGGGGAAGAATTTTTTATTCTTTTTTTTTTTTTTTAATCCAGTTTCTGTCTGCTAGGAGCAAGGCAGCAAACACATTTTCCAACCCTTCATGAAAAGATAAAGCAGAACGAAAGTGAGATCTATCTCCCGATTATGAACAGGATTGGATTGTCTAGTCCACCATCCTGCTAACAGGAAGGGCCCCGAAGGGACGTGACCTCAGTCCAAAGGCTGTGGGTCTGCGATGGGCATGGTGTGCAGGACTTCGTCGAGGAGCTGCAGCGCCCGGTGCAGGTGGATCTCAATCCAGCAAGGTGTTTCCTTGATGCTCTGTCGTGGGTAATCGGGCCCCCAGCCCTTCACAAAGCTCATCCTGAGAATGCACAGGCGCCGGAGGTCATCCACGCCGATGCCGGCAGCCGCGGACAGGCCTAACGGAGAAGATGGGCAACTGTCAGGAAGCCTGGCTGACTCCGTCCCCGTCCTCCCGACTGTATTAACAAAATGACTAGCTTTCTTTACTTCGTTCTCCTTGGCGTATAACTTCTCAGCCAAAATGTCAAGAAGTAACTGCAGATCTAAATGTTATCAACAAGGACTAAAAAACTTTGTTAAGGAAGTTTCCTGTGTTTTACATGTGTCTTCTAGCTACAAATCATACTGTGAGTAACTGCAAGCCCCAAGCCCCCCACCTAGTTTTCACTCAGAAGTGGAGGTGAAGGGACAAGAAACAAAGAGGGGTGCATATCCTTAGGTCGGTTCTAAGAACCTTATCACCCTGACAGTCTAGTTTAGGGTGAGATAAGACTAGCACTGAAGTTAATTCACTTTCCTGGCCCTTGGACTTGGGCTTATTGGATGACCTAAATGACGTCTCTCTCTCTCAATTCTACAGCCTGACAGACAGAACATGTTCTTACTTCTCAAAGGAGCAGTAGATGGGAATGAGACATTCAATTCTGGATTCTTTCATAAAAGCGTGTCCATAGCATTCAAACTAGCCATTAAGTTAATGGTCTTGGATGCCTAAATTTATAAAAAAGCAGAATCTCTATATGAAGACATCTTCTCTGCCTTTCCACTGCAAACTCCTGAATATGAGTCACACGGAGACTCTGTATCTAGTTATCCAGTCAGACATACAAGTCCTAGTCAATCTGCATTCATCAGTATCACAGTGAGACACATGGGAGGAATTGGCATGTACTGTACAGAAACCTGCAGGGACACTGCAGTTTTCTTAGCCAGTGTGATTTGCTTACCACACTGAAGAGGTTAAGAACAGGGGTTGAATGAATCACTAGTTATGCCTTCAGACGTGGAAGATGGGTGCCACGTGTTTCCATCATAAAAGTCTATAGTCAGGAGTTTAACTCTGCAGTAAAAAATTCCCCATCAGTGTGAAACCTGGCACACAGTTCAATTTTACCCTAAAATTAAAAAAAAGTCTACAAGTTATCCAAATACCACCCTCACTTCGTTTCTGCTCCATGCTTAGCATATTTTAAAAAAGAAAAAAAGAAACCACAAAAATAAAAATAAAAAAACCAAACCCTAGAAAAGTGCCCAATTCTGAAACTGAGTATGTTTTTCTTAAAGAGCCAAGCACACTTTATTGCTGACAACCCACCCCAGCTAGTGAGGCAGGAATTAGAACCATCAATAAAAAAAGGAGAGGTGGACCAAGAGAATTTTATGAGAACCCCTTTTCTCTTTTATCCCATACTCCCTTCTTTAATTAAAAAAAAAGAAAAGAAAAAGAAAAAAACAGAGCTCTAGGCAAAATACAGCCATAACAGAACAGTGTTTACAAACTAAAGACAAAAAAAATCATCAGTCAACCAAGGGGAGGGGAGGGGAAACTTTCATCCCATTTAAAGAATTTTAATTTCTATCATAGTTTAAAGTAACTAATCAACTGAGTGAATCAAGATAAAACACCAACTACTACACTTTAAAAAGGAAAATACTTACTGATGGCTGGCGCGATTCCACCCACTGAGCCCGGGCCTGGGATGTTTCCGGCCACGGCTGCGGCCTGGGCGGCGGCGGCAGCCTGTGCAGTGGCCGCCTGCTGCTGCATCTGCCGGTGACACTGACGCAAATCAAAGACCTTTAAGGCAAAATAAAGTACAAGTTCAGCATTCCCGTGTACTCAGTTCTCTATCAATGCCAATCTTCTCAACGTAGCCTTCCGAATCAGCATCAATGAAGAGCAAAAATTGGACTATCACTATACTCTAAAAAGGTACATAAGCCCAAAAGACTTGTGGATGGAAAATACAACAAAATCAGGTTCTGGAAATCAGAAATCGCATGATGTTCAGAAGAAAAAAAATTTTTTTGCACTATTTTCCACTATTCTTTAAGATTCTATACTTTTCCATTGCACTGTAGCCTCTTGGGTTCACAGCACAAAGCAGGGACTCTGCAATCACTCTTAAAACGAAAACACACACACACACACACACACACACACACACACACACACACACACACACCCCGCAACGAAAACACACCAACAAGTTCCCACTACCTGCAATGGGCTTCCATTTGGATGAGCCCACTGTAGGCTGGTTCTGATGTAGGCACGTCCTCTCGCTCTGTCCAGGTTTGCATATCCTGCTACATGTATGGCAGGCTTTTGAACCCAAAGCTGAACCACTGTCAAAGATGACTCCATCTCACAGTGACCGTGCAGGACAGAGCAGAACTGCCCCCTGGGCTTTCCCAGCCTGGACATCTCTACAAAAGCAGACTGCCACGTCCTTCTCCCAGGGAGCAGGTGATGAGTTTGAACTGACAACCTCTCAGTTAGCAGTCAAGTACTTTAGTAACTTGCCAGCTGGGCTCCACTATGTTTTGAAATCACAACACTGAGTATCATCTGTGAGCAAACATCTGAGAATGATAACAGCAAAATTATATGCTGCAGAATGATTGCATGAAAGACAATGTAAACGAATGATTGTATAAAACAATGTATATGAATGAAATGTACTGTAGAGGTATTATTATATGAACATTAATAAAAAATATTTTTAACAAATTCTATGCTGCAACACGCATCCTGCTAACAATAAAGTGAGAGCACGCGTGCGCAAACACCCCCTCACACCCCCCTCCCCTCCCCAGATGGTGCTGAGTGCAGTCAACAGTAACTCACACACACTGTAAGTTGGAATATATACTTGTACTATACATAGCCATCATTACAGCTGGGAATGGAGGATAAAAAAAACTTACTTATAAATATCCAAAGTTAAAATATGCTCTCAATATAGTCTATTCCTCACAGAAATCATAAAATTAGCCATGGGATCTTCATACAGGATCCTCACAATATGCTGGACACATCTGTATAGTATGTCATTTCTACCTTAAATCTACTCTAACATCAGCAGCGTATACTAGAGAAAGCATATCAGACAAAAATAAAATCTAGGAACATTATTATTTTTCTCTGAAAATGTAGTAAAAATGGTTAAGCACCTACGCAAACCTTCCTCATGCAACAGATTATTTACGCACCAAGAATCAGAAGACGTCTGATGACTGGCTACCCTGGTAACTGAAATCTGGGCTGCCTTCACACCACTGATCCATTAGACTATAACAGATTGCAAGCATTGTCCTGGACAGCTGAACTAAGGAGATCACTAAACTGCTACTTTTTAGATTGGCCTGAGTTACAAACACAGTGCAGAGCAACCAAGGTCACTAAATATACTTTGTGGCTCAGATCCAAAACCTATTTCTGACCACCACACACCTAAGCTAATCAACACCCTGCCTGCTTTCATGTAACTGTGTTTCCTGTGGCTATTACACACCTACTACTTGACCCAGGTGAAAGTCTTACGAAGATCACAGCCAATGTCATCAGAATAGTCTTTCACACAGGAGGCAAACCTTGGCCTTTCTTTCACAAGGTTAACAGCATTCAATGAACCAGCACCGACATGGCTCCCTGGGAGGTGTGCAGTGCAAAGTGCTAAGGGCTCCAGCACTGGCCAAAAGGCTGGTGGTCAGGCCCCACCCAGAGGTGCACTGGTCGTCAGGTTTAGAGATCTACTCACCACCTGAGACTTCCCCAAAGAGAAGTGGTTCCACAGCAACTGCTGACAGCACCTTTGTGTATGAAGCACAGTGAAAACTGAAGAGGTTACCAGTACTCAGGTGAAGCAACAGCAAGCAGCAACCCAAAACGAAAGTGTTACTGGTCCTCCAGGCACCTGAGCACAAGACAGGATCGCTTACTTGTTAAACTGCCTGCCCCAGAGAGAAGAGTCTCAGTGGGATTAAGTGGTAATCTGGAATAAATGAAAGTGATTTCTACAGTTTAGAAATATTCTCTGCTATATATAACTAGGTATTTCTGTCATCACAGGAGACTAGAGCGAGGGCCACATGGTGGAGGGGACCTGGGGGAGGGTTTGTAAAACAATGAAAGAATCTTTTCTTTTACTTTTCCATAATTTTTGGACTCATAACTTGTTAGTCAAATTTGTGTCTCCTAGGTTGCAACACCCCCATGATACATCTTCAAGGATATGAACATGTACGGCCAAGCACAATCAATAAGAGTGCATCTAAATTCCAAAATCAATCTCCATAATAGTCTATGTGTTTCCTACTGCCAAAGGGGCCCTTTAGAGTAGTGAGAGAAGATCTTCACCCTGAAACCCACAGCGTCCCTTTTCAGCAGGAAGTAGCTAAGAGAATACGCCATCCCCTTTTCCTTATGACTCAGGGTGAAGTCTCTCTCAGGGAGGAGTGATAGGGAATGGCAAAGGACACACTGACAAAGAAGATTAATCAGAACTGGCTTTGACAAGCACTGTGGCATTTGGACAAGAACAAACTGGGAGGAGGGTAGAGAGAATAGTGCAACAATGAATGAATGGAAACCCAAAATCTCTGTAAATGTTTATGAAAATTAATAAAATATAGAAAAAAAAGAAATATTCTCTGCTCCCTTCTAACATCATGTGTTCAAAAGAAATCTGATTTGACACCATTGTTGTTGTTGTTGTTGTTGTGTACCATCAAGTTGGAACCAATCCATAGCTCATCACCGGGTTTTCACAAAGACAATTAATCGCACAGGAGGAGACTGCCCATCTTTCTCTTCTGGAGCAGCTGATGGATTTGAACTGCATGCCTTTGGGCCTGCAGCTCAAGTTTCTTATCACTAGGCCCCCAAAACTCCCCCATTAGTGACCAGAAAAGTGCAAATCAAAACTATAACTTAAGGGAGCTTTGGTGGCCTAGTGGCAAGAAACTGCACTGCAATCCCAGAAATATGGGTTCGAATCCTCCAGATGCTCTCCTGGAGAAGGAGGGACAATCTCCTCCTGTACCAATCAGATCCAATTTAACGGTACACACACAAAAGGGAAAAAAAAAACCCTATAACTTAAAGGTACCACTTCATTTACACCATTATGTACCAATCAATCAGGACTCAAAAGCCAGCTGATTCTCCAGCTTTTCAGAGGCTGTAAATCACACTGAAGGCTCTTTCTCCTGGGAGGAGCTGATAGGTATGAACTACCTGTCTTTAGGCTGGCAGCTCAACTCCTTCCCATAGGCCACCAGAGTGCCCATCACACTCAACAGGATGGCTAAAATAAACACAAATGCTCACAAGTGCTGTGGAAAAGCTGGAACCCTCATACCCGGCTGGTATCAATGCAAAATGGTTCAGATGCTTAGAGAAACAACTTGGCAGTCTCTCAAAAAAGTTAAACACTGTCACTTTATGGCTCACGTCATTCCACTCCCAGGTATATATATCCAAGAAAATAATACCACAGATCGATCCACACAGTACCTCATACATAAATGTTCACACAGCCACAAAATGGAAGCCCTGGTATACCCTATAATGGTATTACTTCATACAATATAGATGGTGCTTAAAAGAAAGAAAGAAAAAACATCAAGCTAAACAAAAGCAGCCCGTCACTGATGAGCACATTTTATATTATTTCATTTTCCTTAAATGCCCTATCAGATAAATCTAAAGAACCAGAATATTGGCTGTTTGGGGCTGGGGCATGCAGTATGGAGACTTGTGTGTGGTGGCGGGGTAGGAAAAAATGTTCTAAAATTGACTGTGGTAATGATTATACAATTCTGTGACTACACTAATCCCCCCAGAATTAATACTTTACACCTAAGCACAATTGAGAACAGTGCATCTAAATTCCAAAATCAATCTCCATAATAGTCTATTTGTTTCCTACTGCCAAAGGGGTCCTTTAGAGTAGTGAGAGAAGATCTTCACCCTGAAACCCACAGCGTCCCTTTTCAGCAGGAAGTAGCTAAGAGAATATGCCATCCCCTTTTCCTT